ACGAGTTTCTTAGAATCATTTATAAAATTATATGATTAAAGGACCTTGTGGTCACTGTTGTCCTACTGTTCTTTGTTCTTGTCTGTTTTCACAGAGGTCCGACCTCGGAAAGTCACAACCCACTCGAACTCCGATGTGAAGGACTACGCTTCAAAAGCTCAAAGCAGCAAGGCTGGTCAGAAGGACATCGACCTGAGGGAATCGCTGAGGCAAATCGCTGTGGAATACGGTCGAAGGCTAATCTTGTGTTCTTTTTATATAGATCGCAGCACAGTGCAAGCTTTAGGCAACAAGATATGTCACACTAGTCGCATTTGGGATTGCAGCGACCTTTTTGCAGAGGTCTCTGTTCCTTTTCCCAATGGCCTGAGGCATGAGGCCCATTGGTCTCTTTGACCGAACAACTCAAAAAAGTCGGAGAAGCACAAAACACAGCCTATGGGTGAGTTCCTAGACATACTCTGGGGTGCCCTGTATACCAGCGCTTGAACCACCCAGTAGCCGATTTTTTTCAGATGAAGTGGTCTTCATGTATATACATTCTTCAGAACTAGGGGTATATATGACCCTTACCATCCTTCACCCATAAAACCCTCCATAAATCGATACCCTTTACCGTAAATCTTCTACTCTACACGGCTACACCGGGCATCACACCGGGCGCCTAAGAGGTGAAGCGCCTGGTGACCCACGAGAGTCCGGAGGAGGGGCTAGAGGCGGAGCCCACGACAAGCCACAGGCGTGGGCCAATCGCGATCGGCACCGGTGTTACATATAATGATTGATTGATCATGACGTGTCATGGCTGTGACCTTTTTGCACATGATCACTCATTCGTAGGAGAACCAATTAGGTTGTCCCCACCTGGGACCTATCCACTCGTTGGATGGGGATTTATGGCGCGATTGAAGCATCCAGGGCTTTAAACCTGAACGGGTGGAGGACAAAAGACAATATCTTGACACGCAAAGAAGACGTAGCCAACGTTTGATTGCATGTACCTGGAATCACCTGTTCACTGAAATCCATTTCAGCAGGGTTTCTAAGCCCTTTCATCTACGCGAGAATTGCTGGTGTCAAGGTATGTGGCCCAACCTTGTGATGACATATACAATATAGTTAATGTATCACTTTCCTACACTGTTTTTTGAGTTGCCACAGTGCCACAGAGGAGCAAGATGACAGTAGAAAGGCAAAATTCATTTGCAGGTTGGATACCGTTGGTGGGTTTGCGGCTGCAAGATGGACCAAACTCTTCTGTTCCATGTCATTGTTGATAAGCCATTTACGTATTGAGCATCCACGTACGCGTCTAGACACTTTGAAGAACGGAGGCAAAACCGCTCGCAGGCAAGGAACGGAGTGATTGTTCCAGCTGAGAGGGATTTCTTTAGCAGTGCTCCGTCGTTCAGCAAAGAAACCGAACCGAATCCTTGCGAAGACCAGGTCTTCGCTTTATCAGACTATGAATCAGACAACGAACGAAGCCTATCCCGTCCGCTCGTCCGCTCCAGATTCTTCGTGGCCCTCTGGCGGAAGAAGCTCCTCCACCACTGGGTGCAGCAGAATCACGATGGCCTACCCCAGAAGGCCCACCGCGGTGGTCGTCTCCCTTACGGTCTGCGGTTCGAACCGAACGGAACGGAGAACCGAACGCCGACCACGGAAAACCCGGAGGTCCGGAGCCGTTTCCCCAAGCCGAGGTGCCCCCCGAATTTCTGTGGTTTTGGAGGCGTTTTCAGGCCAAGCGTGTCGCCAGGCTTAGCAAGAGAGAAGTGACGTGATGACTTGACTGGGCTGCGACTTGACTCGACTGCGGAGGCCGGATATCCTCAGCATGCCTTGAATGAGATCCATGGCTCATGGTTCGATCCCTCCAACCCTGTGGCCTTTTGAGCGGCAAGAAGGGTCCCGGGCCATGCGCCGCCAGGCGATTTTGGGTCCGAGAGATGTTCGTTGAGCGGGCGGTGGTTGCGATGTTGAGGTAGAGACTGGTGGCACAAGTACAGTAGTAGAACAGCACTGGTCAGGGAACGTCATCATCCAAACCCTTTTTGGCAGTCTCCATGTCTATAGGATTGTTCAGGAAAAGGTAGAGTCATCCTCGAATTTGTAGATGGATTGAAGACAATCCGCCCATCCGAAGCAGATGTTATTGTAGTTTCGGTCTTCTCAGTTGGGGGAGTTCCATCCAGTACCGCTTCACAGACCCTCCGACAACACACCCCAATGAAACATCCTGCGGACTCCTTCCCCCCAAAAAAACGGAAGTGTAGACAGGTGTATGGAGCCCTTTCACATGGAGCCTCAGACAGCTCTCTCCTACTAAGTGGCTAAATATCGCTCCACCTCAAGTCTTGGTGCTTTTCGATGCTTTGTATTTGTTTGTCCACCGGACCACCGGACGGACTTCCCCCCATTCTTCGCTGCGCCACTTCTTCGCGCGTGCGCCGATCTCAAGGTCCACTTCCGCGCCGAGCTGCGCTCCTCCAACTTCGGCTGGCTCCTCGACGCGGAGCTCCGTGCGGAGCTGGTCCTGGCCGTGGGGACCTCGCTGTGCGACACGCCCTCCACAGCGGACGCCTGGGCCGGACACAGCACGGGGAGGACACGCTGTCTCAAGATGGCTCATGTCGGCAACACACAGCACAGCGTTGCAAGGGGAAGGACGATGGGTGTCTCCCTTCCCTTGTCATACACACACATAATGTAATATATATATTATATATATAATATACTACACATTTTGTTTGATCCAGGAAATCAAAGGAGTTTCTCCCCATCACAAGCGGTCAATGCACCTACTGACCGCAGTATCCTTACTGGCAACCTGGATGCGCATCACTTCCTCATCCAAGCCTGTCATCCCCTTGCAGCCCAGGATCGTTTGGTAGTGTCAGCCGCAGAACATGCCCACAGCCTTGGTGCAGTGGTGGTGAGCCTTCAGCGTACACGTCGCGTGGTGAGCGTGTCTCCGGTTAGTTTGCCATTGGGGAGTGGAATCTAGGATTGAACAAGTGCTCAGAAAAAGAGACTGCGCACTTGATTAGTACCCCTCACACAGGCCCTACCACCCTCTAATAGTAAGGGCCCTCCCCCTGTTAATCAAGCCCAGCCTTTGGCCTCCATCTTGTCTTGCGTCTTCTTTTCTCCTGCAATCCTCTTTCTTTTCCAAATCATCCCAATCAAAGAAAGTATCAAAGAAAGTATCCAAATCAAAGAAACACATAGAAACACATATCCATTCAGTGTCCTCCTCATCCAAACCTTCCCAATCAAACCACTGATTGGACACTTGCTCATACACCTCTCATGCTTCACACAGAATCCCATGGTTCCCATCATCCATCATCAGGTTCAGGTCATTACCTCACCATCCATCAGGTCATCACCTCATCCTTCGGGGGAGTCTCCAACACCATCAGGTCATCAACCCTTGTTGACCTTGAAGGGTGGCGGGGGTGGTGGGGGTTGATTAATCTGGTGTTGACCATATCACGAAACTCCAGAATTGATCTCCTTGTTGCGGTGTGACCACCCCTCCACGGCCGGCTGCGGGCTCCCAGGCCTCGATCGCCATGTGCAGCTGAGGGTCTTTGCCGAAGCCGACCACTTCTTCCAGCTCGTCGCCCAGGTCACGGGTCGGTTCGGTATCTGGTAGACCTGCCCAGTATGGGCACATGTCGTACCATTTTGAGAACTATTTTGTACTTCTGGAAAGCTTGCTTTGGTCACTGGGGTGGACTGTCTTGAGTCGGAAAGCCATCTTTGCTTAGTTGATGCTTGGTGCCATGTGGGACTTTGCGGAGCGAATTAGCAGCTGTTCACAAACTGTCAGGGTCAAAGAGGTTGGAAGATGCACTGCAGATGCATAATAATGTTTCTTTGGTTTTCTTTGTAGATGATGTGTCCATCATAGATCGTCATGGATCACTATGATGATCTAATGTTGACCTCTGATTAATAAACGTACATTTTTTGAAATTTTGGAAAACCCTAAATAAAGTTCATCCCATTAGCTTTATTTAGTGTAAACTTTATTTAGGGTAAGGTGGCTTCATGAAAATCCATTAGCTTTATTAGGGTAAACAAGATTTGTCTTTTTTTTGGCTAACTTTATTTCGGGTCCCTTTATTAATCAGGTCGCAGGGTTGGCTAACTTTCGGTTAAGAAGAAAAAATCTTTCGCGTCGACGCTTCAAATTTTCCATTCGATCGACGCCTCCAGGAACTGGAGATCCACCTGTGTGAACCAGAGATTTGTGACGCACCTGCACAGGCACCTGGAGGAGGGAGCTCGATCGGTTCAGATCTTGGGAAATCGACATCAACTGGCGAACTGCTCCTTGAGTGCTGAAAGCAAAGAAAGCACCAAATATGGCAAATAAGTACTGGTGGCCATATAGTTTGGTGAGATTTACTGGGCAAATCCTCATCAGCTTCTACTAGCCCGATAGACAAGCCTAAAGGTTCTCCCATATGTTTCAATCTTGTACATCAAAAGACCACAGTACCAGATGACACCTTGACACCTTTAGTACACACATGTACAAACCATCCGAAATGTAGCAAGCATATGAAGATCAACACCACTCTGAACTCCATTGTCATAACATCCCTTGGGAATTTATAGCACCCTGTGTCCTAGCTGGGTCCCAGCTTGGAAGCTGCTCATTCGTGCAGATTGTGCTCCCCGACTTGGTCTACCTGGCCGCGGGACCCTCCGCTGGGCGGGCCCTGCGCTGGCGACGCAAAGGCCGATGGGATGTCCCCACACTGCATATATGTGAGCTATGTAGATGCACTTGGGTTGTTTTCAAGAGCTCCATATTGAGGCATACTACACCTCTCCATTCCGAGGTTTAGGGTCCATGATGACCCGTTTGTTCGACTTCACCCGGACGGAGCTGTGTCTTTGGTACCAGATCCACGGTCGGACAGGGTGCCAAGGTCTTTAGAACACGCTGTACCTGGGTCGCCGCGTTGCCCGTGGAAGGCTCTATGCTGGAGTTGGATGGGGGGCATCTTATGGGTGCTTGGTGGCCTGGCGAAGACATGGCAGAGATGTCTCTTGATGACTCATGAAGTCCGTGAACTGCTATGACCACTTCATTGGAGTAGGCAGTAGGCACCTCTCTTCCAAGTAGACTTCTGGACATTTGCATCAATTACTGTATATCTCATTGCCCCAAACAGGCCCCAACAATTGGGATTTCAAAGGATTTCCAAGATTCAATTTGATTATGGTGACAAAAAGGATGATCAGGACAGAGTGGAAGACTCCTGGACTCAACTACTCATACTTGGTTTTTGACCTGAAGTTTTCACTATGTTCCACTCGCATCGGTGGGATGGTCTGACGCGATCTGGATCCTCAGACCCATCTACCACGTGACGGTCAGTCATGTCCCCCTTCGAGCCGAGCGGCAGAGGTGGCTGAGCTGCCAGGCACATCCATGCCCTTTCCCCTTGGCCAACACCATGAGTCGGCCGATGCGTGCGCGGCGGGTCATTGATGCTGCACGTTTGGTGGAGGCCGGAGATTTTGTTGGATTTGAACCTGGAACCTAGACTTGGTTTGCTTCAGGTGGGATTTGATGGTTTGTATATGGAGATTCTGTATGTATTTCTGCAAATTATTGGCGTTGTTGCAGGGGTAATTAAACGAAGATGGAGATGTTAGGGCTTTGTTGGTGGATGTGTTTTGGTGTCACTGGCAGACCGGTCTGACGCCTGGACGTTTCAGGAATGCGGAGTCCTGTCCGACGATACATTGTCTTTTGGGAAATGAATCTCATCCCTTCTGAGACAACAAGGAGGTGGAGCCAAAACTTTGGAGCATTGTTTTCTTGCACAGCTCATATGACAATCCAAGAGAGGTTAAGTGACCTGTACTATAGGACATTAGGACTGTACTATAGGGTACCTAGTAGGGCTAGTCTATGGGTTTTTGTTCCACCTGCCCTGGATGTCTATTGTGTGTTCTTTTCTTCAGAGTCTTCACGGGCACCTCACATCGGCTTGCCGGGGCCGGGTCCCGCCGACACGTCCCGGCGTGTGAAAGGATACGCCCATGTGTCACGCAAGACATACGCCCAACGACACAGAGCATGGATGATAGACGTGAGTATACTACGTATACAATTGCACACACACGACACCTCATCTAGATTCTACAGGTGGTGTCACACGATGTTCTGGCCTCGAGCTCTTGAGGAAGGTAAAAGCAAGTGGCCTGCCCCGCCCTCGGGCTGTTTCAAGAGGCCATGTTGCATCATGGAAAGCACATGTGACTCTTTGAGTTTGCAGTGAATCCCAATTCAAACAGGCCCCATGTCCGCGGCAGTTGTGTACTGATCTGTACTGAATTCAGTAACTCTCCAAAGAAGCCAAGGACATTCGCGAGTCAGTGGGATCCCGTGATCTCTAATCAGTCAGGCATGACACAGGTCCCGTCAGGATGAGAACGACGCTAAGCACGAGCTCGACGTGATAGGCATTCTGCTAATTCCACCAGATCAGTCTTCATGGCCCATCCAGGCTGACATTTTGGCTGTTCCCACATCTTCGACACACCCTTTAGACTTCAGACACAGTTTCAGACCCTTTATGGTTACATACCCCATTGATGGCCCTCCATCTTCCTTTCATGTTCACCTCACCCTCCCGGAGGCCCCCTTCCTCACCGGCCCACCGGCCGCCTTCCTCAGCGGCCGCTGGCGGGGCGATGCGCTGCGGCTCGCGGGGCGCGAGGCGCACCCCAGCGCCGAGGCGGAGCGGGCGCAGGACCTCTGTGACTTGCAGGGTGAAGGAGCTAGAGTGATTGGGAGTGAAGAGCCAAGGATGGGATTGGCTTCAATGGGCTAGATGGATTTAGGGAACGAACGACCAGGGGATGCCCGATTTCCCTTTTGAAAAAGGCCAATGGGGCACCCTGTTGTGAGCAGGTGCTATCCTCGTGGCTTGTAGGTTGATGGATTTTCCAAATAATTCTTTAGTCGTGGATGTCCAGAGGTGGTGATGTTCCCAGTTAGAGGGAAGAAGTGATGGGTCCCATTCTTACCTGTGCAATCTAGTAGATTTACTCCCTATATTATATGAGGGCCGTCCGTTATTGCCAGTGAAGGAAGTTAGATGACATGTTAAAACATACATGTCGCGAAAGGGAAACTGCAGTCCGCGAAAGGCCATAGGACGGCGAAAGACATGTGCCAACCTAAACTTATAACATACAATGTGCATAATAATACAATACATGACAAATCCTTTTTCCCGAACAGAAACACGGATTTTCGCGAAAGGGCCGCGAAAGGCCGGCGGTAGGCCCGCGAAAGGGCGCATTGCCTGGAAGGGCATTTGCCCATCCATGGCCTTGAAACCTTTGTTTAGATATCCCAAGCACTGTGAACTCAGTGCAATGGAACAAGCTTATCACACTGCGCGAAAGGAACACCTGTGGTTTTTCTGCGAAAGGACCGGGAAAGGCCGGCGATACAAGCTCAAAAAGAAGAGCTTTGTTGGACAACCCCCATATACTGACATGTCAAAGTGAAAATGAGAAACAGTTACAGTAGCCTGCAGGATGGGATCCTCTATTAAACACTTTTGGATATCAAGGTCAGCCGCTGATTTTGGACTCCCAAAGTGAAACAAGGCGATGAAACAGTTCTTTACAACTCCAGGTTGTCCCTTTGCTGTTGGAGATTAACCACCAAAACTTGTTGAACCCCCGGCCATACCCACAAAAAGAGCAGCATAGAGCAGCATGTCAGAGGCTCAATGGGGTCAAAGAGCGCCGACATGGAGCGTTTGGTGGAATCGTTTGGAGGGCAATCGAATTGTCTAGGTGAGTCAGTTTCCGACTGAAAAGCGGTGGTCAGCCCAGGTTGGGTTCTTGTAGTGCAAGGGGAAGAGCTTGCAGGTTGCGATGCTGGGGCGGTTCGGGCCGTTGGATAGTGGGGCTCACTGGGCTTAGGCATGTTTGTTCGGCCAGTAGACCATGTCAAAAGGATTACATATCTGCCCCAGAACCCCAAGGGGGTGGTGAATTAATGGACATCCCCCAACTGCTATGGCGCTATAAATAGACACCCCTTGAGAGGTCCTGGCGGATAAGTGCTTAGGGCTAGAAGTCGAAGCGCCAGTGGTGGTCGTTTCGAAATGACCGAATGTGACCTCGGTCTCTTTCGGTGTGTTGTTTGCTTCACATGAAGCCATCCTTAGGCGAGAGATGCTAAGCATTTCTGCGGATAGAAGACACCTTAGCTGGAACAACACAACAAGATCAGGATACGGGATACGACTACTAGATTGCATCGGAAGGGATTCTCTACTTGATGGTCGGCTCCTTCAATCATTTTGAAGAATGCAGCATACTAAGCACTCTGAACTGAACACAATTGCACATGGATTGCCTGAAAGAGGGGATTCTCCCAACCTCTGCCGGTGGAAAGGAACCTGTACTTTAGATCATCGAGTGACTGGGCCAGGCGGTGGTAGTAATCAAAGAGCAACGCCAGCGATGATGAACCGCTTCCGGTATCTAGTTGCTTATCATTGGGATTGCTGATTTTCTTTCTGGCATTCTTGATGCATGCTGCATGTTGATTCCATGTGTTACTTGTTCTCCAACCAACCGATGCCTTTTCCCCCGACACCAACGCCTTCTCCCCCCGCGCACCGCCGCCGCCCAGGCGTCGGCTTCACCACCTGGCCCGCGGCGCACGTGCTGTGCGGCGCCGCCGGGCGGACGTGGCATCGCCTCGTGGGGCGCGTGGCGGAAGGCGGAGAATCGGGTGGAACGTGGGATAGTACCGTGGTGAGTGCCTGCAGGTCACTGGTTTTTGGGGGGAAATGTGTTTTTTCCCATGCAAATCTCTGTTTTTGGTTTTCTTTGTTTATATAATGTGTGTTTTCTATATTTTTTAAAGAAGAACGACACACGTGCATCTTTTGACATGTAAAAAAGATGACCTGTTTTGGGGGATTGGGGATGTCCCCCACTAAATATGTCACAGATGGAAAGTTAGATGAACCATGGCAACGGAGTGTCCATTGCGCGGGTGTGAGCACCAATATTCGCAAGCAAAAGGATTCAATCTTTCGTACATTAAGAAGGGCAGTGAGAGTCTCTTTGAGACAGAATCCTCAAAGAACAAGGACGATCACAGGGGCGCGACATGAGTGCGTATTTTGACCAATGGGTTCGGGTATATTTTCTTTTCCAGCGCTTCCAGGGGGTCGAACTGTGGTCCATGCCACGGTGATGTGGGCCTCCGCCAGAACACCCAACTTTCATCAACAATCAAACTCAAACTCTGTCAACTAGAATGGACCTTCCCACCTGGATGGGTTGTTGGGGTTGGTAACTGGAAGCATGAACGCCTTGTGAAGTAAAGTCCGGAAACCACTTAGCCACACTTAGCCAAAAGCACGGCACAGAGCGGTGAAGCATCCCAAACTTCTGAAAGGATACAACTACTCCGCGGTGGTTTGGAAGTTGTGCACAACATCGACAACCAAATTGGATGTCAATCAATTCGGGATATCGAGGAATGATTCCAGAGTTAACCTAAACCTAAACCATCCATGTAGACTTTTGATGACTGTTGATCAATAAATCCATAAAATTGAATTGGACATCCTCTTCAAAAAAATGGGGGGGTGTATTGGACATCCAAGCGACCGCCGTGAGGGACTGGGAGGAATCGTCCCACTACTCGGATCGCGACCCGACTCGTCGACCCGTGCCAGCCAGGCGGTTTGGATCGGTCAATAGCACTCGAATCGCATCGAGTCACAGCAGTGGGGACCATGACGAATATCGGAACCACGGTCGTATCGTGGACCTTGTCATGTCCCTGTGGGTGCTTCGGAGCCCACGAAGCGAACTGGGTATGTGATCCACTACTTGGTACACAACCGGTTTTTACGGCGTGTCCTGGATCAGTGGCAACCACCAACCAACCAAGTGGTGGGGCCGCCTCGCTGCAGGTGGCACCTTTCAGCTGGAGCTCACCTGGGAAGACGTGGTGGCCTCGCGCCGCCCCTCAGAGCCGCTGAGTGAGCAGCAACGCTGCGGCGGAAGATTGTGCTGCCAGGCCCCGATGGTGGGGAGGAGGGACAAAAGCGCCGCTGGCGTCGAGATGCAAGGGGGGTGGTGGAGCTTCATCGCCATGGATTTCCAAGCGGGAATCGAGCGAGTTTGTTCGGGTGAATCGCCCTAGCAAAAGAGTGAAAAGAACCTACGATGGATAGGGTCGTATTTTGGAGGAACGTCCTCTAAAACAAATGAAACTTGATTGAGGGCGGTGACTCCCATCACAGCTGTCAATGAGAACAGCCTGCTCAGTTCGGGTGGTAGGTCCTTGCAGCGCCAAGAACATCACATTTGATTTGCTTGCGAGTCACAGAACGGCGCCATGTTCGGTTTGCTAGGGGATTTTTGGGGGTGACACCCTCCAGTCACCTTCTCGTAAAAGGTACGTATGTGTATTTTCAAGGATTGAAACATCCAGTTCCCTCGCATCACCTTCTCACCATGTCGGATCCAGGATGATTCAATGATTCAGGGATTTCATGCAATGTCGTATGTCGTTGATGTGGCTGCGGCCCAGATCAATGGCCGTGTTTGGTGGGATGACCGACATGGGCAATTCCTTTTGGCCGGGCTCTGGCAGGACGAGGAAGGCGCCCCGAGGGCGGTCTGGTGTTAATAGGCCAAGTCAGTGGAAACCATCTGTTTCTAGAGGACAATGGGCTTCCAAGGCACCATTGTTCACTGATCCATGATGATTCCAAGGAGTATATATAATCGTGTCTTGCGAAAACTCATCTAGCAATTGGAATCGTCTAATTTATACATTAATTTACTAAGTTTTTCCCCAAACAGTTTACTGTTGGGGTTCTATCTTAGAAAAAAGAGCTGGCCACACTCACTGGCCGCGCCCTTGAAATCTGTGGCTGGGCTTTGTGGCTGGGCTCTGTGTCCAGGCCTTGTCCTCCTCTTGTCCTCTGTGGCTGGGCTCTGTGTCCAGGCCTTGTCCTTGTCTTGGCCGCGCCCCTGAACTCTGTGGCTGGTCTCTGTGGCCCGGTTTACTGGAGAGGAGTGTGGCCGAACAAATAGCGATGTCAATGCCGGGTGAAGGTAGGGCGTACCAAGAAATCAATTTTTGACAAATATTGGTCTAAACGAATCGTGTTGAAGCTGTTTGGGGTCTATGCTGGTAGATTTTTTTACTCTATAGTCTACTCATGTTTGTTCCCTTTACAGATTAACGACATCCCTAAAAAATAGCATTGCAAGAAGACAACAACTCATGCTCGCTTTTCATTGTCCAACTGCTGTGTACCAAAAACAGCTTCCATGGCTTGCATCGTGCAACTGCGTGCAACAGGGGGTCGTCAACTGCACATAGCCACCGCGGGTGTTCCAAATGGTTGAAAGGCCCCTTTTTTTTTCTGATGAAGGGGAGGTTTGAGCTGAGCCATATGTCATGTCCTCCTTTGCTGAATAGTGACGTGGAAAAGGAATCTGGATGATCAAAAAAACTTTCCAGGATGCTGAAATCAGAGTTTTCCCGGAAAACACACAAACAAAGGCAGAAAACACCTCGGACTCCAGGCGTTTCATTCCCAACGGCAGGCGTCTCTGGTGCCTTGCTGATGTCGCAAGAGCCCAACGCCTGCGCTGGACGATGGGACTCTCGTTGCGACGAATGTTGCAACGCCGCGACACCGGCGACCGGGGCGTGGAGTGATTGGAATCGGAATTGTTGATTTGCATTGAGATGATCCTTTTGAAGTTGCGATGTGGTTGCAGTACTGCGGCCATGAATATCATCACAGTTGCAGCCAAACATCACAAAAACTTGCAAGGGAACTTGAAACATGGCACTTGTCTTTGAAAGTTCAAGTCGGATGCAAAGACAGCTGTCCTCCAATCATTCTCTCATATATTTGTTCGGCATTGTTTGGCAAATCCACCGTCTTTTCTTCGGAAAACAATCGGAGCGGAGATTTTAGTACGATGCTGGTGCAGACATGCTTTTCAGAACATGAATCCATATGCCACTATGCCCACAAATAGGGTGTTTCAGTGTTTCCTTGTTTCCCTTTTCTGAGTCTCGCTCAGGAGGGCAGTTCCAAGCGCTACGTCTTGGCGGTGGCCGCTGGGCTGTGTTTGTTTTTGGCAAAATTAAATCAGAATCAGGCGTTGTATTGTTATCAAGGTTGATTTTTCTGTGGGATTGTGTGAATTCGAGTCTGATTGAATTTCCAGAATGTTGGCAAGTTGCATCTGCAATGATAATGATAATGATACTAGTATGTGCATCATTGTACAAATCCTTTTCATCCAAAAAAGAACCAGCTCCACTCCACAGAACTGGTCTTCCCGGCTAGAGGTCCTGTGTATCCCCCTACGGACGCAAGACTCAACTTGATTGATGAACATGGATCAGCATGCATCCCAGTTTCTTAGTATTAGTAGAGGAATAGATATCACCCGGCCGTCGCCCGGCCGTGTTTTGCCCAACCCCAACTTGTGTGAGCCTAGGACCCCGCGCAAAAGCCTGAAGCCTTCGGCATGGTCCTTGGTAACAGTGGCTTGGTGGCCATTTTGATGTGTTGTCAATGCGAAGCCGGATCAATGTCCTGTTGGAGACATTCTCAACATCTGTATCGGGTGGTTTTCTCTTGGATGATTTCAGGACGATTTGTTGACATGTTCGCCTGGAAGGGCATGGAGTTTGGGGTCAAGCGTTGTCATGGTGCTCTCGACTCTCGACTGAAAACAGTCCTCCTCCGTGATGTGGCACTTATTGGTTAAATTAAGTCTATTTGGCAAACATAAATATTATTAGTTTTTATATGTAGATACTGTTGACCCAGTTTGGAGTAAAGAAGCCCTTTTAGGGGGTTGGTGGTACCCCGAAAGCAGGTCCCAGGAATATGATGTGTGTATGTAGCTAACTGATATGATATTCTTTGCCACAGAGTTAATTGTCATTCTGCATGTCTTATCCATTTGAAGATTTACAGACAGCGAAAACATCGCGGAGCCCTTGGGGCTGTCCAATGAGCCTGCCTGGTTCTCCAGTTGCTGTCGCTGGTGCTTTCGCACCAGGGAGTGCGATACATTATGAACACCAAAGGTCCAAAGAGAACTAGACAGTCAATGGATCTAGTTGCCATGGTATTGGCCACCAATTCCAAAGCCTACACAAGGCTAGAGGTCCGTCGCATTCTGTTACATATCCGACATTGATCAATATACAAGGACTTTTAAAACATATATATCTAGACCTTCTGACTAAACCTAGCTCAAAAGCTCAACATATTCAATTTTTGTCGGATGACTCCTCTCTACAGGATTCTTCAAACATTTTGTTTCAGGTGTACTTCCGGCCCGTTCTCCTTTGGACCTCCCATTGTCTCTCCCGACTTTGGTTCTTCCAAGAAACCGAGGTGCTGATGGCCAGTTGTGAGGTGCTCAGTTCGGAGGCCATGAAGAGAAGATCCACCAGGCTCCTATCGTTTGGAGGTCACATGGAGGTCAGCTCTATCCGAACACGGACGTGGGACTGCAGAACAGTTCGGGGTTTCTCGGTCTCCTCAGAGATTGCAAGACATGTCATTTGTTTTTTTCATTGCTATCACTTATTTTATTCTATGGCATGTTTTTTTTTATATTTATATCCAAATTTCTTTTGAGTGGCGAGCATCTTGCTGTGGCGCTGCGTGTGGGTGCCTCTCGGGTCAAAACCCCTGAGATGTTGGGTCCCTTCCAATTTCAACAGACAGGATGCGAAGAGAATGGTGATGGATTGACCCGGTTTGTTTGGTTCTTTCTAGTCCTTATTGTCAAACACGATGAGGTAAATATTGTAATGGTGAACATGATGTTTGTCATTCCTCGGCGCAGTCGTTCTTTCCATATGCATGAAGGCTTCTGGACTTGGACATATTTAGACGCCAGCCCGTGATCCATTCTGCCCCTCAAAGCTGGTCCTGGAGCAAGCACATAACTTACGTTGAGACCTGAGGATTCGCGGCTTTTGCGAGGATGGCAAGGCTCCTTGCCTGCACATCCTGGTCGTTGAGGGAGATCCGAACAGGCAACATGTCTTAAGGCAAGCAGAACGGCCAACCGAACACGTAGAATTTCCACCCAAGCCGGAGAAAACGTCAACAACCGTAGTGCGGTGATTCCCCGCAGTCCGCAATGCAAGCAAGAGGTTCTAGCGCGGTCCAAGTCATTGGGCAGAGCTTGGAACATCTTGGAACACTGGGGTGGAGGCAGTGGTGCTCAGTACTTCCCAATGCCCACTTTTGCTCGCGCTCAAAGCGATAGTCGCAGGATCAGCATGATGCAAATCAGTATTCTGTCGGCAGATGGACGATGCCTTGTGGAACAAGGGCATAGTCCCGAGGTTTGGTTTGGGTCAGTCAGCCGGTCTGTTTCTTTTGCCGGTCCTTCTATACTTAGTATAGCTGAGGCTCTTTTTGGAGGTTCCCCATGTCTTAGGAACAGCGCATCTCGCATTCTTCCCTACTCACGCAGCATGGCTGGCCATGCCCCCTCCTCGGCCGTGGCATGGCTTCAAACCGCCTGGCTCGTGCTCGTGCTGGTGGCGTTGATCGCCGCCAGGTGATCCTGCAGCAAAACGATGCCGATGGATCGGTGCAACGGCAAACGTTTCAGCTTCGGCTCCATGATGCTGGTGCTTGGCTCGTTGAGAGCCACTCAGAGGAACGTGGATAGCCCCGCCTCCGCGGGAAGGAGGGTGTTTTTTGGACCCAGAGGCGTGGGGTGAAATGTCAAAGGTGCTTAAAGGAAAGCAATACCAACAAAAACAAAGATGATCAAAGATGATGGAGACGCACGCATTAAGGCTGGTCCTTACCTGATTAAGACGTGACATGAGTGTGTCCCTGAAAGTTGATGGACTGCAGAAGCAAAGCCGCAGAAGAACACCTGCTGTGTAGTGTAAAGATCAATTCATGACAGTTCGTTTGACCATGGATTTTACACCGACTTCTATCAGATACAATGGTGAGAGTAATGGTGAGGCCTAAGGCTGAACGTGTCTCGCTTTTTGCCACACATTTCCAGCTGCCATTCTTGACCCCTTGTAACAAGTAGATGAACCTTACCAGTTTCCCCTGCCGGCTTGTAAACTTCACCAGGACCATAGACAGCTTATTGGCAAATCCAAAAGCAAAATTATCAACATGCGTTTGCGTCATTTGACAATTACAAAAAGCTGAACTCCCTTGAACAGAGGGACTGTGGACTGTGAGTACATACACTCCATGGTCAACACACGAGCGGTATTTTGTTTTTGACGTGGCACATCGAGGCTTGTGTTTCGAAATGGCTACTATAGATGCTATACCAGTAACAAAGAGATACAAAGAGCATGTGCTACTGGTAACAAGAAGCTACGTTCGTAGCTCTTTGCTACTAATAGTCATGCCAGGAGCGCCCCGTTCGGTTCGCGTCCGATCGCTCCGACTCGCCGTAGCGATGCACCAGATGGTTGCCGAAGTCGCCGAGGTCCCTCAGGTCCACAAAGATGTTCCGACCTCGTTCCAGTTGCCTCGCAGGTGCTGGTGTTCAGTGGGCATATATATATATATATATCAAAAAAACGAAAGCCTGAATTGGGGGGATTGGTTTCCCCACCAAGAAATCCAACAGGTGGAAACAGGTTAACCACGATTAACCCCATTTTCCAGAGAAACGGCTCGGGAGTCAGGGTGGTATCCCGGAGGTCGTCACCCTCAGCTCAACTGCTGCGTCTCAGCACCAAGGTAGTGGTGCTACCGTGCAGCAGATGCAGCCCTATCAGGAAGTGAAGGAGCTGAAGGAGATCTTGGGCTGTTTGGACACCTACGAAGCTCAAGGGCCGTGAGATGCAGTGGGTCGGTCCAATCGACCCACAAGAGTGTGCAGAGACTGAGAGACTGACCTGTGAACCCTCAGAACCCTGGGTCAGTCTTGACACACTCTTCATTGAAGATGCTAGAAATGGGTTGGAATCATGTAAAAGATGCTGGGCATGCTGGGATTGTGCATGCTTGTATGCATGTTGACCATCTAGAGTGAGTGGTTCGTCCCGCGCCTTTGTCAGTGAGAAGCGAGATACGGTTCCTACGAACGAAGGAACAAATCCTTAAACCCAAGACCGTCAAGACCCATAGATTTAGGTCACCAGTCCAAACCTATATACATGTTTTTTGTCAGACGATGAATCTTCGGTTACTCCCAATGTCTATAATATTCTATAATCCTCCAATTATTAACCAAAGGGAGTGCATTCACCAAGTCAATGTTCGCCAAAACAGACGGAGCTTCTATGGTGTCCTGCTCTCTTTGATGCAGATTGAATTCCCAACCTGATGAAACCCACACCGTAGCTCACCATCGTGGCCTTCAGGTTACACTCAGTCTTCGGGAGCCCAGTTGCAGCTGATTGAAGAGGAGGGGAAGGCGTCGGGGGGATGGATCCGGTCGTGAGGTTCGAAAACCGGTCGAAGCCTCCAACGTCGGAGCTTACAACCAGGGGAGCTTCGGTGATTCCGTAGGACAACGGCGGAAGACGAGAAGAAATCTTGTAGTCGACCCCTTGGTCCGTAAGATCCATAAGATGTATCTAGGCGTGCACCCAGAGAAATTTGACAACATCCAAGGGTGTTGCGGAGCAAAGAGAAACGGATTTCCCATATGTTCCAATTGCGTTTTGGCCCATCATGTTCTACCCAATTACTCCAGGATTACCCCGCTGGCTGCTTGTGTTTTTGTTGATGACTTGTTCAGGTCCCGGGATCCAGCCAACCTCATTCCCTCGCACCAGTCAGTCAGGTGAAGCTTCAGAAGGGTGATCAAGTTCTGGAACCTCCTGGACACCTCGAGCACGGTTGCTTGCGCCGGGGAGCACAGGTAGCACCGCTTTCAGGAGGTGGGCTTGGTAGACAGGCCAATGAGAGACAGGAGGTGAACATATTTGCAATTATAATGTTACTGTGGCTGTGGGTGGAGAAACACTCCCGATCCCAAACCCTTGTAACCCAAAAATACACTATTTGGAGCTCCAGGGTCTGTTGAATTTGGAGCTTCGTATTGACTTGACATGGCTGCAACTTGTGGAGCGCATGAAATCCTGAGGAAATCGGATCCGATTTCTCAGTCATCTCTCAGGTGGTGAACGCATGGTACAGGGGCCCGCCAAACCATCCTCTACCTTTCCTCCCGCTCATAACACCCAAAAAAACCTTGCTTCAAGCAATTTGCTTGCTCATGTGTGCGGTTTGTTGTTCAAGAATTGATAAGAAATGTAGTGTCCTTTTTGCCAACAAATTATTGTATCTATGATTATATGTATGATCATACTAGATAATTATATATATATGATTATGTGTGTATATATGTATATATATATATGTTATATATTTTGTTTGTGTGTATATATGTATGTATTATATATATATATATTTGTTTTAAACATATGTATTTTGTTGTTGTTGTCGTTGTTGTTGTTGTTGTTGTAATCAGAGGAGTAGTAGTAGTAGTAGTAGTTGTTGTTGTAGTTGTTGTTGTTGTCGTAGTTATAGTTGCAGCTGCAATCGTTGTTGTTGTTGTTGTTGTTGTTGTTGCTGTTGTTGGCAACTCGACTTCGTCCCCCCGATCCAAACCGAAAAAGACACGAAGAAGACACCTGGCAGGTTTGCACCGTCAGTGCGGTCGCTTGAGAGAGAACGGTCAACTGGAGTGGAGCAATGGCTCTCGTTGGACCCGGGTCGAAGAAAAGGATGGCGACGTCGAAGAGGATATGGATGGATCTGGACACCCTTTTGTTAAGCTCTCTATAAGAGTTTGTTTTAGGCGCTTTTCTAGGACATGGAATTTTTAGGATCCAGGATCCCTCCTTTTTGAGATTCTGTAGGGCCCTTATTTGCTGTCACGATCTAGGGTGTCAGACAGATGAATGTGGTCAAGAGTCAAGAATGATCAATCATGGACATAGTTACATGTTAGACATCAAACGACTCATTAGGGTCCAGATGGTCCAAGACCCATAACATGACCAGGCACATTTGGCCAACTGTCCTTTTCTCTCGTGTCTCATGTCTCATCAACAATTAGAACAAACACAGACCAACAACACATTTTTTGGGGTGTTGGACATGAGCCGGAGGACCCTAATGTAGTCCCCCATTCTTTTTTGGGTGGAAAGCACAAAAGGTCTTGGAACGTCGCAGGAGCGAACCACCTGCAGCCCGAGAAGGGGCGGAGCCGTCCGATAGCGAACCACTCGTTCGACTCATCGTCGTTCGACTGGGACGGCGGCAGGTACTGGAAGGCTCGAAAGAAGGCGGCACGAGAAGTGCGGCAGAAGAAGCTTCGTGGCATATGAGCTGCCGAGAACGCGGAGGGAGGTGCAGGTTGGCTCCACTGAACGCGAAAAGAGTCCTTTTTCAGTAGGATTCTGTTGGTGCAGTGGCCTTCGAACATACGATGGATCATACATGTTGTTCCGTTGATTTTTATTTGTCCAACTTGACTTCCTGGCTATGTTGTTTTCAAATTGTTCGCGGAAGCCTCCAAGATGTGATTAAATGACAATGTGACAATCTCTTTTTCCAGGCACGTTGAAACCATCCATTGGGTCATGGTGGATGTATGTTCAAGTCTATCAACAGTGCCGAACTCTGCAGATTCCAAGGATTGTCATTGTTGGTAAATTCCATGTTTACAACTACTTAGGGTCTACTACTACTATGCCAGATTCAAGCTGCGTTTAGTGGGATAGATGAAAACGAAGACTTGCACCTCCCAAGCACTTGCTGTCACTGCTGTAGCTTGAAATTCCGTGGTGCTATGAAGAGAGAGTGGCCACTAAGACTAGGATGTCTTATACAGAGTGTTGGACCCCCTATTGGGGGGACCACAACCATTTAATATAGAAAGACCAGCAGGCCC